AATATTATGTACTAGCAAGTCATTTTCAATTCCTAACAACCACATAGATTTTCTCCATGGTGATTTATCCCTAACCTGTTCTTTCAAGTGCTCTAACAAGGCACTCATAGCCCCTGAAACTGAGTCCATCCACCTTACTGCTGTCATCTTTTTTTCTTCTTCCATTTTTCCAGCTTTCCAGCTTTCTCCAGAGAGCTAGGTCTTCACATAATGTGTCCAAATATAATTCTTTATTGGCCAAGTATGATTGGACATACAAGGAATTTGTCTCCGGTGCATGAGCTCTCAACAACAAAGTGATAGTTCATATATCACAGATCATAGTTATAATTATAAGTAGATAATTATAATCAGTTATAATTATAAATAAATATAATGTATTAATAAATATAATTATAATTGTAGTTATAATCATAGTTATAAAGTAGGATAATTTGAGCCTGGTCATTTGTGCCTTAATTGAGAACTCTGGGTTGATTTCTCTGATTATCCATTTGTTTGTTTTTTTGATTGTCCATGGTATTCTCAGCAGTCTTTTCCAACACCAATGTTCAAAGGCATCAATATTCTTCCTATCATGCTCCTTTAAAGTCCAACATTTATTTCTATAGAGTGTCACAGGAAATATCATGCTTTCATGTTTTTGATCTACAAGGAAATAAAAACAAAAAGCAACCAGTTGAATATATAGCTTTGGCCACCATCTTTATATTTTATAACCTCTGCGACATTTATTTATCTTGAAAACTAATCTGGCCCAATCCCTCTAGCATTAAACAGAACATAATTGCTTAATACTGCCAGTGTGTATACAATAAACCGCACATGCACCAAACACCTTGGGAGACTTCTTTCCCATAGTAACTAATATAAATTCTTGCAAGATACAATAAAACTACAAATTTTAGGGGAGAAACTATATTGACTGGGACTTGTGGCAGTTCTACAATTAAAATCCAGAGGTGGATTGACAGGAAAACTCATTTTTTAAGATTTATTTTAATCTATAGCTGCTTCCGGACGAACCAGATTTGATTTGCCTCAGGAATTTCTTGCACCTCATAAACTACAACTAAACTTGTATTGTAGAGAGTCAGTTTGGTCTAGTGGTTAAAATACCATGCTAGAAACTGAGAGACTGTGAGTGCTATTCCTACTTTAGCTGTGAAAGCCAGCTGGATGATCTTGGGCCAGTCACTGTCTCACAGCCTAATTCACCTCACAGAGATGTTGTGGGGAAAATAGGAGGAGGAAGGGCTATTGGATATGTTTGCTGCCTTGAGTTATTTGTAAAAATAATAAAGGTGGGATATAAATAAATAAAAAAATCAGAATTGTATTCATATGAAAAGGGAAAGATGGGTAGTTCTCCTTGCTGTATTTAAAGAACTGAGCAGATCTCTCATAACTAAGAGCAATTCAGGACCCAAGTACATGTTATATTATTAATATTTCTTTATAAGTTGCTTGAACAAGCCATTTAACTCAGATAGATTACATCCTGTGCTGATTCTGTTTTGATTTTTTTTTTTTTGAAAATTGCCCACAATCACAATTAAATTATTGTGATTCTGGAAAGACAAGCAAATAATAGTCTGGACAAGAAATCAGCATGTAACTGTTCTCCTGGAAAAAGGGGGCCAGTTTAAGCACTGTGGTGTGTTGCTCATATGTATTTAATTTCATCTGGGATGCATCCAAATTTCCTTCAGATTTTACGTAGGGAAAAGAGTTGTTGGTATGTTAGGCAATTTTTCTTTCAGCAGTTGATCAGTGGTATGTTAGCAAAATACACCACATACTATTAACATCTTACTTTTTACTTGAATTGCTTTTGTAGATACGGTAGTTGTTTCCAATTTTTTGCACTTTGAGACATATTCTTGGTTTCATAAAATGCCCTAATTGGTCTACAAGACAAGTCAGAGACTTAAGTTATTATTAAATGTTATTATATGAATTATACTAAGTTAAAACATATTCATCACTATTTATTGGCTAAACAAGCTACAACTCTAAATTTGGAATCCTTGTCACTTGACAGAAAATGAAACTTTATAGTATTGCTTCTGATATTGCTAGTTTATTTATTTATTATACCTGATGGACTAATCAGTTAAAACTCACATGATTAAATAATCTTACAGCATGAAAAAAAATCTGGCCGGTGAGTGGCAGTGTTGCATGAAATTTGACCAAAGAGAAAAATAAAGTCACATCTACTAAAATTATGAACCGCAAAGCCAGATAAATATTGCCTTTAAAGGTATTCATTTATTAGTTGTACTAGATCCCTTAATACAAATTCTGCATAAACGTCCCATAGCAGAGGCGTAGATAGACCTTGAATGATATTTAACTGGCAGGCATTAACTTTGAAAATGCCCCACTGAGCTCAATGAAGCTTAAGATGATTTGATTAGCTGCACTTCTCTTTCAAAACAAGTTGAATAAAATGAAAGAAAGTGCAAATATGCAATTTGCTAAGGGATTTAAGCCTTCTTTTAAAATCAAACGCCGCGGAAACGAAGTCAAGTATCAGAGTCTCAAAGCGCAAAAAATTGGAAACAACTACCTACAAAAGCAATTCAGATAAAAAGTAAGATGTTAATAGTATTTTATAATTACTCTTTGTGAAAAACTAAAGGCTTTTCCTTTCCGTGACTCCTGGAAAACATTCGCACCGCTGTCCCCTGGCCTGTTAAATGTGACGTCACTGCAGTGTAGCCGCAACACAGGACGAGCTCAGTTGTGTCGAGAAAAAGTATCCTTACGTTCTGTAGTCGTGGCCGAGTGGTTAAGGCGATGGACTAGAAATCCATTGGGGTCTCCCCGCGCAGGTTCGAATCCTGCCGACTACGGATAAAAAAAAAAATGTTCCTTTGGAATGTTTCTTTTTGACAGGAAAGACCAGTTCAGACGCATTTTTAGCAAGAGGGAAATCGTTCACTTTGTCCTCATTCTTCAGTTTATTAACCAGATTTTGGAAAAGATGAGGCGCCTAGGGGGCGTGGCCAGCATGCGCGCAGCTTTCCTCCCCGCCTACTATTCGTTACCGTGGCGATGGGACAGCGCGCCAGCGTGCGAGTGGCCGAGACTGGCTAAGATGGCGGACGACCTGGATGCGTTGCTAGACGAAGTAGAGAACAAGTTCTGTCGTCTCTCGAGGCGGGATTACTCGGAACGGCTCCGAGCCAGCCAGGGGCGGAAAAGGGACCGCCTTCTCGAGAAGGAAGAAGAAGCGGAAGCAGAGGCAGCCGCCGCGGGGGAGAGAGCCAGGTGAGCAGTGCGCATGCTCCAGCCTTCCCCATCTCTCCCGAGTCTCCAGCTCCTCGGTCGCTGAGGCTGAGAGGAAAAGACATTTGGCAGGGGATTGGAACACTTCCGGTGCCTCAGCGACGCCGTCCCCAACCTGGCACCCTCTAGGTGGGTTGACCTATNCTGTTTATTCTAAAAAAGAAGAAATTAAGTCCTTAGACTAGTATTTAAAACTTCTTTCTCTAAGTATTCAAGGAAATTCACCCAGTGCCGTGAAACCTGTCAGTGCAAAGGTTTCTAATAACCAAAAAGCAGTTAAGAAGCCATTTCAAAAGAGATTAGAAAAGTATGAAGTATGTGAACTTAGTTGTCTTTCAAAGGGGCCAACCTCAGTATGAACAAGATGGCCATTCCCTCATCTTCAGAGTTCTAAAAGTGCTAGAGATGGCTCTGCTGCTGCAGTCTCTTACAAAGACCAGCTGTCTGGGAAGGGGTGTGTGTGTTGGGTTTGCATGATCTCAAGTCTTCTCTTTGTCCAGAGAGGTTTCAAAAAGCCTATCTACCCATCAGCTCTTCATTCTGCCATGTTCATTGGCTCTCTTTTTGCAGAGCCATCTTCAGTCCATCATGCTTGCCTTCAGAAGTCCATGAGTTTTTCTTTTGGTGTAGTTGTTCCTATACCAACCTGTGTATTGCATGTAGGTGTATACTATATGAGTATACTGTATTTTACTGATGATACTATATTTTAGATTCATACAGTGTACAGTACAAGTCTAAAGTACAGGAGTTGTGGCCACAACATTCAAATTGTTGACATTTTCCCTTTCCACATTTCCCTGCTTTTTATCCTACCTAAACTATTGAGGACTTCTGCAAAATCTCAAAGCTTGCAACCTTTTTTGTTGAATTATGATTAACTCTTAAATAAAGGTAATGTGAGGGGAATGAGTTTTTTTTTGTTGAGTGGGCACTTGGTATGACTACATTTTTTTTTACCCAGTGATGCTTCTCTTCCATTTTCTTCTTTAGATTTACCAAAATATTGACAAAAGGAGCCAATGAAGAAGAGGATATTGATGAAATAATTAAGGATATAGATGAAAGTACTTATATCAGAAATTTCACAGTAAGTAAATCTCTGAGAAAAGAAAAACACATCGATCAATCAGAGTCAGTAGAGGCTCTGGGGTTATGCTTTTTTCCTAACCCTTCACCTGTTCTCAAAAATTATACAACTGGTTAAGTGGTCCTTTGTTCTCTTTGTTTTTGCTAGAAACAAACTCCTAGATTATTCTGCTCATCATCTGAAAATAACAATACCTCCATTCAAACCCTTGGTAAGAAGTAAGTAAGATTTACAACTAAATATATGGTGCTTAGTAAATGGCTATCTTAAATTTCATTGCATTGACAGTCAGTCAAGAAAGAGATGTTGGGTTGGATTCAGAATTAGATACACTTAGATTCCATCCATTATTGTTGCATCTCTTTTGCAACAATTGTGTGCATAAGCATTCAAAACTGAATAAGCAAAGCAACAGAATATGTGGAAGGAAATGAAAGCAGGGAAAATGTGGTTATTTCAGCTATATATACTCAGTCTAAGTTGCAGTCACTCCATCTTCCCATAAGCATGCTGAATAAAAATCTGGAGAAAAGGGTGGCAAATTAGATATCTGGGTGGTTGGATGGACTGATGATAATCTTATATGTGGAAATAAAATTTATTATGAGTGGTGGAATTTCCACTATAAAATATACCTGGCTTTACAACAGTAAGTTTTGCTGAGTTCAGTGGAACTCATTCTCAGATAATTATGCCGCTTCAGTTAGAGTAGACCAGAAAATACAGGGCCATTTGGAATTTTGAAACTGTTATAGACACAAAATAGTTGCAATTACGGCTGCATCCATCCTTACAATGTCCATATAGCAGAAGGCAAAAGATTAGACTAGATTAGCCTCTAGGTTATCTGGGGCCTAGAGACATTGTGAAAATACAAGCTGAGGACAGGATTTTGGTTTATAGCATCCCAGCTTCTTATTCATATGTTTAAAATTAAGAACATAATAGATATTTAAAGAAAACAGGGTTTAGTGGGCATAAGGAATGTGACAGCAGACATGCTTTTTCTTTCAGGTGTCAGCTGGGGAACCAGATGACAAATAGGTCAAGAACTATTGATAGATTTTTGGACAATCTCAAATGAATCAGTATTTTTTTTTTAAAAAAAAAACAATTCCTAATTGTTGGAATCATGACAACAACAAAATGACTCAACATCTCCTGAAATTATACAGTTAAATATATACAGTGAAAAGGGGAGTAACAAAAGGATTTTGTCTGGAAGAGTATTATGAATTTAGTTCAATTCTACTTTTGAGCATAATTGTAAATAATATCTCATTCTGATAAAGCTATGTTCTAGAACATTCCCATAAATTCCTATAAGTTAAGAGTCTGATCACCTCTAAGGCTGGTCAGATTCTATAGAAAATATGAATTTGGGGCAGGATCTCAAGGCAGTAAAAAAAAAAAGTTCTATTAGGTTTTTCTGGGCAATAGTTCCAAATATACAAACCAGCAAAAATCACAACGCTTTATTAACCAATCTAATCTGGATCCAGCTCTGCAGCTCTGATAGTTTTCTAAGTGCTCACATCATTTATTATTTCAGCTCTGCTTAATATTTTATGACTAGTAATTTAATTTCATAATTTAATCTATAGTATTATTTAGTGATTAATAGGCACTTTTTGGCATTTCATAAATAAACATAAACCTATTCTGATTTGCCATGCTTTATCATTCTTCAAAGCTGTTGAAAGGTTTTCCCTAGATGCTATGATAATAAAGGCTAAGAAATAAAATGTTTATAGTGTGACTATAGTTTTTAAAGACTCCTAATTTTAATTCTGGTAGATGTTGCCCAGTATACCTTGGTGGAAGCACCGCACCATATGGTATTGGAACAAATATTTCACAGAGGTATGATGTCTTTTTTAATACTACTAATCATGTTAATTCTATCTCACAACATGAAGGAATCTAGGTGCTGCTTCTATTGAGTTTGCACCTTAACCATCTAATGTAATGTAGAGCAGGGGTGGACAGACTTTGAGAGGTCAGGGTTGCAACACTGGAAAACTCCAGAACTGCTTCCCAAATGCTGCCTTAGCAGGGCTTTTTTAGAATTTTCTATTCTTCGTGATAATTGTGGATCTGTTGCAATTTTATTCCCATCCATATAGTGGAACACACCCTCAATTTAGCTTTTGCCTCAGCTTGAGGAGATACAGCCTGGATATTAGAGAAATTTCACTTACTATAGTATCATGGCTAGACCATCTTGTGATAAAATCTAAAGGCTTTTACCAACTACAACACCATCACAAATGGCCAGACGATGGTGTCTGCAGTGTAGGTCTCTGTAGCAGAGACCAATTATCCTCATGCTTTGCTGTCTCAGTTCAGGACCTGGTTTGGGGAGAGATTCATATATGATCTCCCAATAGAATGTGGGAAATGAATAGATTTTGTTTGATCTTCCAGAGGTTTTTTTTATGCTTCTTGGCCATAATATTTTCCTAGACCATCTCCATACGTTGGGAGTAGAGTAAGGGCCACTGTGTTACAGTGGTTCTGCTTCTTGTTTGAAGGGTGTCACAGAAAGTATAGAGTGATGGTGCCTCTCCGGAGGCATTGTGGGTTTTCCAGCTGAATATCACCAATATGTAGATAACACATCACTACTTATCCATAAACATCTGAATCAGGACAGACTCCGCACATCCTGAACCAATATCTGCAGATATTGTACGTGATAAACTAAGACTGAATCCGGACAAGATGATGATTTTGTTTATGGTGATTCTTGAGTTTTGGAATCGGACGTTTAAATATTTTAAATGGGATCATCCTCCTTCAGAAAGAGCGTATATGTAGTTTTGGAGTACCTAAATCATTATTATTGGAGAGCCAACTGACCTCAGTAGCTATATAAATACCTCACAGGAAAAGGTTGTACTTGTCCCCATAAGACTAAGCTACTTCCAGTCCAAACCTGTCCAATGTCTTTACTAAATTGATTTATCAATGAAAAAAGGAAAAGTTAACTGAAAAACAGTTGCTGAACATTTCAACATTTCAAATTACTGTAATGGAGGCCTCATATTCTTTTTAAATAAACCAGTGACATTTGTCTTTTCTTTCTTTCTTTCTTTCAATAGAACTTGTGATCAGTTACGTTGCACTGCATGTGACTTCCGTGTTTTGCATTATAATGACTATCAATGGGACAAATCGTGTGATTACCTCTTTTTTAGGTAAGTATTATGGACAATATCAGGAGTTCTAATTGTATCCCCACTGAAAGTTTATTTGTAGGTTATGCCAAATTATTTTTAATACAACAGATATTTTTAGCACAGATATTTCCCCTTCTCCCTTGTGGGCAAGATAAATTTTGATTATGGTTCTCATGTCATGTCATGTTTGGTTTTGCCTACTTGCAATCCTAAACACATTTACTAGAGACTAAATTCAGTCAAGTCAAGTAGTAAGAGAGAGTGTTTTTTTAAGTGTATGTGATTATGAGTAACTCATAAATACATGGAGAAATTATTCCTATAATACAATGTCAGAATTATGTATGTACAACGGCATGGGGTTACTATTTTTAATATACAGGAGCCAATAAAGAATTGTCCCACTTTCAGAATATCTGGTATGCAATATTGATTTTATATCAATGGTTTTCCATTGAAGGAACAAGAGAAGAATTTTGGTCTCCATTGAGATGATGAAACTATTGGCCAGACTAGTTAGGGTGGTTGTGAGTTGCAGTTCTGCAATATCTAGAGAAAGCAGAAAGTTTGCTTATGCCCATCAAGAGAGACAATTGTAAATTCCTCCAATAAACATGTCTATGAAGATTCTCAGTCATCCAGGCCATGGTTGTCCCAAATGTACTTTTTCAAGAGGCAACTGAACTTTCTTTTTTCTCTTTGAAGACATTTCCCTCCCCATTGCAGCTTCTTTGCATGCCTAAACACACATATAAGCAATAATACTTCTGAACAGGAGCATTGATTCCAGAATCAACTGGGATTAAAGAGAATGAAAGTCAGAAGTTGACAAAACTGGAGATTCACACACTTTCTGTGAATGAAAGTACTTCTACTCAGTGTCTCTTTTATTCTAAGCAATGATACTTTAAAGCCATGCAGAAGCTCAGCTGAAATAAAATGTTCTTAATTCTTAGGAATAACATGCCTGAATTCAGCAAGTTGAAAACAAAGATGCTAATGAAGAAGGGATCACGGGCCTATGCCTGCCAATGCACTTGGAGATCTATAGATGAATTAACAGATCTCACTATGGACCGACAGCTCCGTTGGGTTTGTAGCAAACATATTGGCTGATGTTGGCTTACTTTCTGCAGTGTCCACATCTGTATGAAAATCATCTGTTCATTGCTTGGCACCATGTAGGGTGCACCAAGGATGTTCTATGTTTATACTGCTGTTCCAGTATAAAGTGAGCATTTTGCCTCAAAAGCTTACTAATTTGGCTCTACATGCTCAGAGGCTTCCTTCTAATTGCTGATAGAACCAAGCTAGCAAAATTGTTTTAGTTAAAGGTTACGTTGATAAAGGTCTTTGGATTTGATAGCTCCTTCAATGAATACCAACAAAAGAATAATAAAACTGAAAAGAAAGAAAAGACGTGAAATAAAATCCTAATTCTTTGACTAGAGCACTAGTTTAACATAAAAAGGCTGTTATGGTGTTTGAAATTTAAAATATTCAGACACAATATATTTCAAAGGAGATTCTGACAATTCTGTTTTTATCCAACTGTTGTTATAGTCAAATTAATGCAAACCTGCAGCAGTATTATCCTAAAACGTGTATGAGAAGCTGAATTATACAATTAAAATAGGCTAGTTGAAACTGACAGGAAGACACTGTAGATCAAAAATTCTGAACAGCATAAATGCTAGATACAAACTTTATTCATAATGTTGTTTCAGTGCATACACACATGGAAGTAAGTCCCACTGGCACTTGCTTCCACGTAAACATGCATTGAATTGGGCTATATAGTGTTTATGGTCATCTCACTATTTGGTCATCTTGCAAAGTTTTTCTAATAATGAGCATTAGTAGCCAAAAGGTTTTCTGAAATAATATTTTGAATCAGCTATTCTTTGTGAAAGGCACAAGTATGCATAAAATTACATGGAGGATGATTTCATCTTACAGTTGCTATACAGCATTTAAGCTAATCACATTTGAGCGCTTTGTTTTAAAATCAAAATATTATATAAAGGTTGTCCTGACTTACTGTATCTGTTTTCCTCTTAAAAAATAATTGCATTATGATTTGTTGAGTTATAATGACCTAATGTGTCCTAAATGTAATTTTTGTTTAAATATTGTTTTTTCAACTTGTAATATGTTACATCATCCAATAATATGCTCATTTTTCTGTGGCACTGAAAATTTAAAAATGGATTGTAATTTAAAGATTTATAACAGGCCTGTAGTACACCAAGTGACTGAAATAACATGCTAAAACAATAGCTGTTGTTCATTATCAGAAACACATTAAACACAAATAGGTACCATTGATTTCAGCTTTTTTAATAGTATGGCATATGTTTAGAATTATAGCACAAAAAAATTTGGTATTGTAATACAAATTATACAAATAAAATCTGTTTAGAATCATACTACAGATAAATTAATAGTTAAAACTACCACGTGGAAATCAGCCCATCAGATTTTTTTTTCTGTAATGCTACAATAATTAAAGTATATTCTTGGTATATTCAAGTAAAATTATTCTGTTCTTATCAGTTGCTTAATTCATTTTCGTTTATTGGCCCTGATGATACGGTATTATTTAGGTTATAGAATGTTCTATATAACTGCACTATTGTTAATAATAATAAAAGATAATACAGATAATACAATAACTGACCATGAGTCACTTTTTTCAGTGCCACTGTAATGTCACACAGTCACTAAATCATTGGTTGTAAGTTGAGGACTTTTTGTGTAGGTGCCTCTCATGGTGTTAATGGTAGATGTCGAGGCAAAGTAAATATATGGGCTTATAGCAGGGACTGGATCCCATATTGGCGGCATCCTGTTGTTTTTGTTGCTAAGAATCTACACCAAATTGAAAGGTTGCCTGTATGCAGATATGGGCCTATCACCTAGTCCCTCAGAAAGTGCAATGTCATTGTCCAATATGGACTGTAGCTTATTAATAATGAGTTTAAGTGGCTTGAGCAGTGAACTGTAGATAACAAGCAGGGGTGTTCTGTTTCTGTGTTCAGCTTTTAATAGTTCATCCTTGGGAATTGATGTAGCTGTTTTGATTTGTCTGTTAATCTCCTTAGGTAAACAATGTTCTGAATGCCTGGTTTAATTCCACCAGTTGAGCTTCTCTGTCAAGTAAGTCAGAACAAATCTGTTTGTAGCATAGAGCCTGAGCACAGATAATTAATTTGGTGGTGTGTTCTGGATAGAAATTGAAAATATTTAGGTCTTCATGTCAATCTGTACATTTCCTTTATAACGTGGCATTTGTGTGGTTTTTGATAACATTAAGGAAGTGCACTTGTTCCACAGACAGATCTAGGCTAAGGTTGATGATAGGGTAGAAGTTCAAGTCATGATGGAATTCGATGAGGAATTCATTTCCATGGGTCCAGATGATGAAAGTCTAACCAATAAACCTCCAGTAAACAAAAGGCTTCACTAAATCTAGCAAAATAGAAGTAGTAAAACAATAGAATCACCAAAGATACTGTACATATTTTATGTTGTGAGATTCCATCTTCTCCTCCCCTAACCCATTTCTCCAATTTTAATCATGTTCATATTTGTTTATTTGTTTGTAAATTTAAGTTGCCCATCTCCCCCAAAAGGGGCAGCCAACCACAATATCCTTGTACTTCAGTTGTTGTTGGAAATACAAAAGAACAGATGCCAATTAGCAGTAATTTTGCAAGTAGTTTTAAGATTTAGGAAATAAAAAGTGTGAAAGGAAACAAACGGTCCATTTTGAGTACAGTTGCTTAGAGAAAAATACTTAATTCACAAATGTATAGATTGTATGCATGTATGTATTTTTACAGACAGTAAAAATAGCATGTTTCCTTCATAATGCAGCACAAGTGGTCCTCAACTTATGACCACAATTAGGACCAGAATCTTGGATGTTGAGTGAAGGGGGTCATTAAATGAGATGTCATGTGACCACAGTCATGGCACTCCCGGTTTTCATTCTAAGCTAGCGGTTCTCAACCTATGGGTCGCGACCCCATTTGGGGTCGATCGACCATTTCACGGGGGTCGCCAAGCAAGGCTGTCCGCCATTTTTTTTTCCCTTTTCCGGCGGGTGCCTTACCTCCCTTGAGCTGGGCCAGCTGGTGGTCGGTCTGCTCCGTCTCTGCCACTTGCCAGCTACGCCTCGGCCGGCGCAGGGGGCGGAACCACGCATGCGCAGCGCTCCCGGGCAGGGAAAGTCCTCGACTTACGACCGGTTTAGTCCTCGACTTACGACCGGTTTAGTCCTCGACTTACGACCAGTTGGGGGTCGCGGCATTAAAAAGGTTGAGAACCACTGTTCTAAGTGATCTCACAGGTCATTACGCAGACTAAGTTCCAGATAAATGTGGTGGGGAAGATTGGGTACAGGCTGTGCACATGTTGGAGTGCTGCTGCAGTGCAGTGAAAAGCTGCCTCAGCTCAAGAGGCCTCAGCCAACTATCCAGATCACAAGTGCACGGAAAATGCCCTACTTTCCTTTCCTTTTTTTCTCCAGCTGTTGACAAGCATGCCCAGCCTATGCGAGACACAGCCTTCTTCCCGGGGCCACGTCACGCCATTCTCACGATCCATCAGAAAACTCCTTCAAATTGTACAATTTGAAGGAGGAGGCGTCTGAAGCACTGCGAGCATGGAGCCCGTTCTTGCAGTGCTTCAGAAGCCTTTTTCTCCAAATTTTTCCTTTTCCTGATGTCTGGGTTTCTGCGGTGCATTTGTATTCATCTGAATAACGTTCTTACACAGTTCTTCTTGTGGGAAGTTGGGTTGTTATTTTAGTAATGGAGCATTTGTTTAGTGTGTATTGTTTTTCTATAGACTTCAGTTTCTGATTTACTATCATTTTCCTCTGCTGATGGGAACATCCAGGAAGGGTGGTGTATTGCTATTTTATTCTTCCCTTGTGGGTTTTATTCCTTTGAAGATACTGTAGATAGTTTCATGTGGCTTGTCTAGGTATTCCTTTTTTATTACAACAAAGGTATCGTCCACATACCGGATCCATGCTTTTGGTTATATGTGTGGGAGTGCTCTAGTTTCTAGATGCTGCATTACATTCTCTGCTATGAGCCCTGAGAAAGATGACCCCATGAGTGTTCCTCTGATTTGTTGGTAAATTTGTATATTTGTCCATCAATCAGAAAATAGGTTGTGAAGCAGAGGTTGATGACTTCCATGATTCCAGTAAATTTTAAAGTCGATTCTGGGCAGCACATTTAAATTGAAAAGAATGTTCCTGTAGAGGGCAGTCTTATACTGAATTTGATCTACTGTACTTCATTTTCAATATAATTGGAGTTCCTCCCTCAAGCCATTCCACAAACTGTCCGGTTAATATGAATACAGGATTATGCATTCAGGATTTTTGTAACACAAATATGTCAAACACATTACCCAGTCTACCTAACAGAATTGTTATGGGATATAATTGAGAAGGGAATAAAATGTATCCTGCCTTGAACCACTGGGCCCAGAACAGAGCCCTGGGGCATCCCACTACACATTTCCCTCCATGTAGATGCAGTTCCATTGAGGACCACACGCTGAGTACA